GTGAGAACCGGTCTGCTTTTACCGGTTCTCACGGTCTCTTCGCTTGCAGAATTCTTATATTTTCTTCTACCCTGAAGATGGAGGCGATACGTTCCTCCGAAACGTCGGTTAACACCACTTATACATGGTGCCAAATCCCAAAAGACTGCTTTCTTCATAGTCACTGCCGTGAAAGCCTCAAATCTTACATGAAAATATGTCTTTGCTCTTTCTGTGTGTAGCTCATTCATCTCAGTACATTTGTGCCAGTAGATAGCCCCAACTAACTTTGCTGTCAGTATTCTGGATATGTAGGCCACGCCATAGCTCAAGTGGTTAGTGGCTGGCTTCCCGCCACGGTGGCCTGGGTTCTATCCCGGGTCTTGTCAAGTGGGATTTGTGGTGGACAAAGTGGCGCTGGGGCAGGTTTTCTCCGAGTACTTCGGTTTCCCCTGCCAATCTTCATTCCACCAATTGCTCCACAATCGCCCTCACCTGTCATCCGGGGCTGGTACAATAAGCCAGAAGAGGCTGCAGTACAAGGGACTTAGTCCCACCCCACTAGCAAAAAAAAAAACTGGGTATGTGCTCCTGTTTATGAATTTGTTCTCATCTAATAAGTATAGTCTTCTAGCCAAATGTCTGTGTATTCACAGTCCATCAATAATGCAACAGTTGTTTATTCACCATTTAACACTTAACACAACATGTTTCAGCCATAGATGTGATCTTCAGGTGTTTTAATGTGTCCAACTGTTACACTGTTCTGAAGTGCTCTAAAATTGTGCGTTGTAGTCCAGCGATGATTCCAACGATGAGCTTCTGCTGTTACTTTCCTTGTGTAAATGTAAAAGGAAGTGAGTGCATGGCGTGAACCTAAGAATAACAAAGTTTGGTGAGTTTCATTATCTGATAAAGCACATGAAGATGAAGTTAAATTTACAGAATATTTCCAAATGAATGGGGTTAATGAAAATATTTTAAGTTCTTCACTTGTAGATAAAAGAACAATGTTTGTACATTACCTGGTGTATTCAATTCTCCAGAAATCATGTCCCAGGCATTATCCAGCATGTTCTGGTTCCGATATTCTTCTAACCCTTTGTTCCACAAACACGGATACTTCCGTACTTCTTCAATTAATTCCTCCAGTGTCATTTTCATCTAAGCGAATACTGCGCTGAATGATACATAACACGTGTTGTAATCAGAGTGGGAAATTACTGAGGTGCATAGCTGACACCTGGAAGCAAGCCCAGTGCACATTCCCGTCCAGCGCGTTTTAAAAATTAGCCGAGAATCAAACACACTGCAACGCAGCTAACATAGCGTATGTAGCATATGGAAGTCTGTGTTGCCAGCCACATTAGCAGTAAAGGGAGATATTTTTCTGTTCGTATAGCGAACATAGCGTACTTAGCACTCTGTGTGACCGCACCTTTAGAGCTATGTGTTCATTCCAGACAGTTTGTTTCTGCAGCTTGTTTTCCTGTTCATTAGCCCTTTGTTTTGCTACATCTGCAATCTGTAATATGCCTCTTGCTTGTGTGTTGTTCCCTCCAGCAGTGTGTGGTGCTGTCTTCGCTAGTCTTAAAATCCATTAAAATTTGAATAGAAAATTTTAATGGATTTTAAGTAATTATTTATGTTATTTTAAGTGGACTTAAAACTTCAGAACAGTGTAACAGTTGGACGCATTAAAACACCTGAACCATGTTATGTTAATTGTTAAATGTCAAATAAAGAACTGTTGGATTATTGACAGACTGTGAATACATAGACATTTGGTTAAAGGTTTGCAACAGGGTGCTGAAATACAGAATTATAATCACCTAGGTTGTAATGCCATGTAGTCTGGTGACAGCTTCACGTTTCAGAGGAACATACCACCTCCGTCTTCAGGGTTGAAGAGGAGTCAAGCAAGAAGCCAGCAGATCTTGCTCAAGTCCATTTTGGCAGAATTTTCTTTCTGATGTATTTTAATTGTGAACGCAACAACTCTTTTCTCCTCCTCGTTGGGTCAGCTCCTGAATGAATTTTTGGACAGTTTAATTTTCTCAATCTGCAGTGTGATAAATGTTTGATTGTAATTATAAAATAAAAATGTTCAGGTATGAAATTCATTTGGAACTGTGGAGGTAATGCTTGGTGTTACTCTCAGCTTCACAAGATATGGCAGGTTGGAAGAAGACAGAATAGGTGATGCCCCTACCTGAGACAGATGAATGGAAGTAATGTAAACAATGTGGGATGTGAAGCTGGGGGGAAATATCTGAAGGACAATTAATTCATTTGAAACAAAGAGAACAAGAATATTAGAGACACTTGTGTAGCTGCATAAATGAATTTGAGAAGCATTACCAATGTAGAGCTTACTTTGTAATGGATCGTAGAGATAAAGTTGTCCCAGTGCTTAATTAATTAAGGACCATTCCATGAGATACAGGGGTGGCATGAAGGTATAGTTCCACCATTCTTGACCTTTGCACTAGATGGAGATGACAGCAGTGGTTTACAGATTCCCACAACTTTTTGAACAGTAATAATAATAATAATAATAATAATAATTTTATTTAACATTCATCACAGTTACAAATTGTAACTATCGAACAAGTCACATACATATACAACTTTTCCAGTCTAATTGGCCTCCTGCCCAATCGATTGAACGTCATCATATATCACTATAACATAACATTCAGTTACAATTAAAATCACACTCTCGGTATAATTAAAATATATCAGGTACAATCAAATTTATGACTACCTTCCATTATAAAAAACAAGGTCATCTTACTATATATATCTTATTTACCACCGTCATATTCTTAAACTTCAAACCTATTATATCAAAATAATCCACAAAAGATAAAATTCAATTTAGATAAGGATTAAATAATTTGAAGTGCAATCTCTTAAGACTTCCATCCCCTTTAGATGCTGAATCATATTAAAAACTTCATCTAATTACAAGTAATTTCATTTACACTTAAATCTATTTATCAAGGATAATCTTATTCGTTTAACTGTCATTCTGAGAGAAACTCATGCAAATTATACAATGGGTGTTCCAGTAAATATCTTCTGAGTCTGTGTAGGAATTCTCTATCTGCTTTTACCATTCTTAGTTCCAAAGGCAGTCTATTATAAAGTTTAATAGCCATATTTGTAACACCCCTCTCATATGTTAAGGTATTATAACTTTGCATGTGAAGGTCTTCTTTCTCTCTCGTGTCATACTTATGTAGGTCAGCGTTTTTTGTAGTGTAAATATTATATTTCTTGAAATAACGTAACGCCTCTAAAATATACAAAGATGTTACCGTTAAAATTTTTAATTCTCTAACTAAAGGTCTACATGATGTTCTTTTTGTTACCCCTTTCATTGTTCGAAGAACCCTTTTTTGCAAAATCAGAATTTTTTTACTTTCACTTCCTCCCCCCCAAAATATCAAACCATAACTTATTTGAGATTGGAATTTAGCAAAGTATACATTCCTAAGGACATATGGGCTTACTTCGCCTTTCAAAGCTTTAATAATGTAACACACCTTACTGAGCTTTGTACAGGCCGACTGAATATGAATGTTCCATTTTAATTTGTGGGTTAAATTAATACCAAGAAACCTAAACTGTGCTGTATAATTAATTATTATATTTTTAAAGGTAATCACTGGCTCAGTGCTATCTTGTAGTTTATTCACCTGGAAATGCATTGCTGTAGTCTTCTCATTATTTATTACCATATTCATTGAAAACCAAGATTCGAGTTGCTTCATTACCTTATCTATTTTGTCTTGAAGAATATTTTTGTTCTTTTCTATTACCAGTATATGGTATCATCTGCAAATAGCACCACTTCCCCGTTAGTGATATGGAGGGGTAGGTCATTTATGTAAATCAAAAACAAAAATGGACCCAAGAAGAATCACTTCTGTCAGCTGCAAAATGTATGAGTAGTTCTTAATATTAGACCCTCTGAAATGTGTAATAGCTGAGCCTTCTTTTTTGAGGTTGATATTATTACTGAAAAGTGGAAAAGATATAAATTCTTGAGTATTAATCAGGTTCTTGTAGATGTGATCCACGCAGGAGGTGAAA